GGTGAGAGCCTCCGTCCAGCGCCCAAGTCGCTCGTACCATTCTTCATGCTTGCTCACGTCGTATTGTTCCCGGGCTATTAGGAGAGTGCCCCATGCAGCATCATGTTGCTGAAGCTTCGAGTTGATGCTGAGTAGAGCCTCGATAATCGTAGGAGATGTCTCGGTGAAGAACTCGAGCTCCTTGTAATGCAACGCCTTGGCATATGCATGGAACTTCATGGCATACTCTCCAAGTGTCCGATTCTCAATAGGAAGGGCCTTCTCTTCGTGCTCCATGAACTCTGCAAGGTTCAGAAGGCGATGTACAATGTCTGCGGGGGCAATAGGTGACGTGATAGCGCACTCGATGGAGCGTACCAAATCCTCCTGTAGACCACATAGGATCAGCGAATTGAACGTTGGTCGTGGACGAGGCGTTACCTGATACTGATCATAGAGCTCTCCCCAACAGGAGAGGAAGGCTGCGTTGAACAACTCCTTTGCAAGAGGAGGATGAACATCGACCAGGCTCATGCATGCACGTAGAGCGTGGGAAGGCGATTCCTTCATGAACTCCACCGTTATCCGATGCATCCATTCGTTCCAGTCATCCTTCGCGGCGATCTGCGAAACATCCCAAGCCTGCTTGAGATGCTGCTGGTTCACTGTCATTTTCGTCGCCTCTGCAGGCGCAGTGAACTCGACCGCTTTGGTACTGTCCCTATATTACGAAAGTTCAGTACGCGTCTCACGCGATGAGTCAAAGAAAGAGACCAACGATGGTTCCAGTATCCCCGCCTCTTGTGGAAGCCTGTCACCACTAAGAAGTTTGGAGATCAGATTCTCGTAGCGAGGATGTGATATACGGTGACGGATAAGACACTGTAGATATGCATGGTCAATGAAGCACGACGCCGACCATGCTATAGTGTACCTTGTTCACGGTGGGCACGAACACAGCAAAGTCGGATCCAAGTTGTGTCACCAGCGAGCAGAGTGTCTCCATCACAGTGTTCCGCAATTCGGCATTAGAAAGAACACGGACCAGAGGATGAATGATGCGGGACGCGTGGTCAGAGAAGTTGACCTTCCTCGATAGCCCTTCAATCGTCTGTATTGCTCTTTTCCGTAATGATGTAGACGCATCGGGCCGCTCGTAAGTCCTCACGATGATCGGGATGACAAGTTGGAGATATTCTTCAGTGTTGGACCCAAAGGTAAGGAAGGCGTCGAAGATCTTCGTCTGCGTGCTCATGGTCTTCTCGCTGAGCTCGCCGTCAAACACTCTGAGCAGTAAAGGTAATATCGAGGGCAGGAACGGCCTGAATTCCGCATCAAGCGCCTTCCCAAGTGCTTCGATGAGAGACACCAGAGGCAGATGCAATGAAGCGTTCTCCCAAAGATCTGTAATCAAAGCAAAGATATCGGGCATATAATTACGGACGTGCTGCTTGATGATCCCGACAAGGATGGCCAGTTGTTCCAAGTGGAAGATCTGAATCCGAGCGACTGATGTTCGCGCAACCGTAGCAAACGCTGGGATGATCTACACCAATGTCGACATGTCAACGTTCACCACAGAGAGCAAGTCATTTTGTTCAACCGACCTGAGGCAAGAAGGTGGCGCATTTCAAGCCTTGCGTCTTGAATATCGACATGATGGCTTCGATGACTTTGTGATGCCGGTCAGCAGACTGCTGGTCCTTCAAGATGTCTAGAAGCGCATTGATAGCAACTGTCTGGTAATAGTCATCCGTTCCTGTGCTGATGCCTGTGTAGTTCCTCGTCACAGCATTCACGAGATTGGAATTAGCCAGCTCTGATGCTGCAGCCTCTTCGTCGGGTTTGATCTGCGAATATATCAGTATGTGGACAGTCGGAACACTCTACGTTCTTACTTTGCGCCTGTATGGGTCTAGAGCACCTAGTATGCCCAGTACTTTGATGATCTCTCTCCTGACAGCCTGCTTCGACTCTGTTCTGAGGATCCTACTGAGGATTTGCAGGAGTTGTGGGTAGTCGACGAGGGGCGACACGACGTAACCAGTACTCGAGCAGACTTGGCCCAACGTGTGCAAGGCTGCGTCGCGCTTCGGAAGAGAGGCATCAGCGAGCCTCGACATGATTACTTGCATCAGCTCAGGAACGTGAGGTAGGACTTCCTCGCCCCCGACGCGCGTAAGTTCTCCTAGACACATGAGGATGTTCGCAGCCACGGTTGGGTTAGGGTCATTCGCTTTGGGTAAGAGCACTCTCAGCATTGGAATTGCGTAGGGTTTGATGAGACGGTTCGTGGCAGCGACTAAAAGAGTCAGGAGCCTTGTGCACTCTTCTCTCCCGCGACTTTTGCAATACCGTTAGACCAAGCGAACTGAGAAGTGTGTACAACACTCACGAAACAGTGGAATATTCAAGCTCAGTGAGCAATTGTATCAGAGTCTTTCTGAGCGAAGGCATCACATAGGCAGGGTTGTGCATCGCAAGGCGGCCTATCAAGCCCACAGCAGTGACGCGGTTCTCGAATACTTCATCGTTGACAGCAATAAACAGCGCGCGAACGTTCTCCGCCTGTGCAAGGTGCTTGTCGAACCGCTCGTGGAGGGAGGAAAGTACGGTCTGCCTGATGGTGGGATCTATCCGCAGACACCTGAGCGACCAATGCGATCATCGAGCAAGGAGTCGCGCACCTTGGTCAGCGATTCCAACAGTGAGCAGCTTGTCGATGACGTCGCTAATGATCTCAATCGAGTGATTGCTCGCTTGGTATACAATAGGATCCCGCACGAAGAGACGACAGCAAGTCTCCGCTGCTGCACGCCGTACCTCTGGATTGTCCTCGCCCAGGTAGGGTAAAACGCAATCACGCACGAATTCATTTAACGTATGACCTAGGGGACATAAGACACGACAGTCTTCCTGGAGTACTGTCAATGTACGTACCAGTGAAGTCGAAGTCTCGCAGGGTGACCAGCGCGAGCGTGATAAGTTCGGGAGTCTTCTGGACGGATGCACCCTAGAGAACGATCAGACGTTGTATGCCTTAAGAGCATGCCCATACTGACATCGATGGTAATGACGTCCTTGGATCCTGACTCAGTTCGAAGAATAGACGCAGGAGCACCAAGCGGTTTGTAGTGCTGCCCGCTAAGGAGCATTGAGAGAAGATCCAGAAGACGATCTACAAAGCACGTCAGCTTGTCCCAATGGCTGCGTCATGGCACAAACGACAGTACCTTGGATAGTCTTGAGCAGAGGCGGGATATGGGTGGCGATGGCGGTGAGAGCCTGTCTCAATGGCTCGCTCAATCCACAGTTGAACATGAGGTCTAGTTGGTCATGAAGGAGCTTCGTGAGGTTCGGTCCAACCGCAGACGCGAGCATGCCAACGCATTGAAAGATGGGCTCCTCTGATGGTGCGTTCTTTCTTCTGCGAGCGTGCATGAGACATACACAGAGCACTCCACTAGAAAAACAAGGTACACACCCTCGCGACTGCAGGCCTTGTTTGATGTGGTACATGATAGATTCGAGAAACGGTTTCATTTCACTGCCCATCGCGCTAGCTACATGCCCAATAGCGATGAAAGCTTTCGAGACGTGAATCGTGTGCTTGGCAAGTTACAAAGAATGATAACGTACCAACTGAACGCTCATTGGGCTTATCAAGTTGAGTGAGCAGATGTGCCATCGCTTGGTGCAAATGGTGCTCCGAAAACGTCTGAGGGTCATACACGGCAAGGGTTGGGATGAGAGTAATGACCATCTTGCGGACAAGGGCATCTCGGTGGGTCTTGAAGGACAAAATCAAGGCGGCGGCGTCCATGAAGTTCTCTTTCATAAACTGTGTAATCGAGAGGGCTCAGTAGGTACATGAGGTAGAATACGGTGTAGGGAGACATGCTGACCATGCCTCCGTGCAAGAGTAGCTCCCTGTACGTCAAAAGCGAACCGTGGATAATCTCCGGTTGAGCCGCTTTGAGGCCCATCTGAGCATCCTGCAAGATCCGCACCAAGAATGGACTTCGCGCCTGCCGCTCTCGTATTGTTATGATCTCCAGACAAGCCGCAAGCAGCTCCGCTGCACTCTCTCGAACAATGACACGAGTGTCTCGCAGAGGTACCAGGATCTTTTCGAAGACGAGCCCGATATAAGAATGAAAGAAAGTGGGACTGTTACGGGCGAGTTCCTTCAAGATGAGTACACCAGCATATCTTCCGGCTTCTTGTTTCTCAGCTTGAAGCAACCTAATAGCTGCCTGAACCTCGTAGTCCAACCAGCTGTCGCCAAAGGTGGATCCGCCTACAGCAGCGATGTGCCCAAGAGTCTTGGAAGCGGCAAGCATAACATTGATGTCAGGGTTGGGGAGCAGAGTCTTGACATAGTTGTAGAAGCGGTACAGATTACGCTGAGCTTCAAGCGCACCCTCTCCCTCGGCATTGAGGAGGTAGTCTGTTCCAATCGGTAAAGGCCGCAAGTGCAAAGCAAGGTGTACTCACCAATAGCCAGAATACCGCCAAGTTTCTCTACGTTACTCTGGCTATGAACCAAATCAAACAGCCGCCTATTGATCGTCTCCTCCCATAGTTTCGCTGAGGCATCCGACGACGCGTCTTGAGCAGAGTTAGACACCTACAAGTGATGAATACGTGCTCAACGGGTTTAGCAACGTACAGTAATACTCACATAGCGTTGGAGGTCAAGGGCAGATTGTAGTCTGACTTCGTGACCCTTGTTCCGCAGGCCTTGAAAAATCTGGTCCAGCACATCGACCTGAACACCACTGGTGGAAGCCATGAGCGAGAGTCCACCCTACCGCGTTCCGGTAGCCAAGCAAGAGGTGAAGAACTCAGCCCGAGCGAGCCGTTAGTAGCCACCGGTTACTTGAGTACTTATTAGTGGTTACGCACAGGAAGGGCGCTAAGCCAATCCGGATCTTGAAAGTTGAATGCACGTGGCAGGGATATCTCGTCTAGAGTGTATATAGTACAGCTGATAGGCTCTCCTACTTCAATTTCGTTGTGGCCTGGTGGTCTAGTAGTATGATTCCTTCTTAGGGTATTTACCATCTGGAGGAGGTCCCGGGTTCAATTCCCGGCCAGGCCCTTTCAGTTCGTTTCCTTTTTAACGGCGAGTCCGGCTTCTATTACAACCTCTAGCACAAGGACCCATAACCTACGTACGTATCGATTGGCACACATAGGCACGTTTCATGCAATAAAATTGCAACAAGTATGCATTAAGCGAAGACCGAGTAGGGACAATTCTCCAAGCATACAGTCTCATGATACATGGTGCATGCACAGCTACGAATGTGGAGCCGTCGGACTCACGAGAAGAACTTTTCGTAGTACTGCAAGAATAACCAAGTTGCGCCGAGGCCGACGATGAGTACCAACAAGAATGCGCCGAAGACGTAAAGCAGGATGGCCTTGAACTCATCCTTGCCATCGCCGAGAGGCTTCCTCTGTGTACCATTCGCCTTCCCGTTTGCTTGCGCCGCGGCAAGGCGTGTTTGCCACGCACGCTCCTGATCCCGCTTCTCCGCTGCTTCCGCGACCTGGCTGCGCGCATCGGACGTGTCGAACGTCTGTTGCCGGGTGCCGCCCGCAGACGCTGAGACGCTGACGAAGGACGGGTAGTGTTGCTCGCACCACTGCTCGATCTATGATAAAACAGTGAATTACTGACCATACGCAGTCCGCGAAAACCGGTCATTTACCTTGCCACAAGCAACAGAGATTTGCAGAAAGCTCGGATCCTCAGACACAGCCTTGCTGTGGATCTTGCGCGCGTAGTCCCGGAAAATGTAGGCGACGTCACGGGGATTCGTCGAGCGCATGATGAGCTATGATATTGTCAGAGATATTCTCTATCTCCAGGTACAAATAACGCACAGAGGCTGCTTCTGCTTTGCGGATCTTGATGTTCCGCTGGAACATCTCGTAGTTCATGAAGCACAAGCACAGCGTCGCTATGGCCATCGTCTGCGGGATTGCACAGAAGTTGAACACGCTCTGCGTCTTCAGCAGCCTGAGGTAGTCCAATGAATCGACAGCGTGACCCAGGACGTCAACAACCATCGCACTCTGGACCCACAGCGCCTGCTGCTCGTTGCCGGGCTGGTACATCTGCGCCATCTCCGTGAATGCTGGCCTTCCGACCGCCTTGCCATAGATCTCCCGACCCCAGATCTCGCGAGGCCAGAAGAACCGCCGGTCCTCAACGTCCTCGCGATAGTCACGAATGATGTTCGTCTTCTGCAGCATGAGACCCATGGAATTGGCAAGCTCGAGTTGTTCACCAAACCAAGGCGCTTCCTTGCCTGACGCGGAGAATAGACGTGTCATGCCCTCTCCTACGAGCCCCGCGACGTAGTGGCAGTACAAGTCGTAGTCGGATATCTTCTCCACATATACCTCGCCCGTCGCCGCAGCGCGATGCGCGTAATCCGCCATGCCTGTTTCCATCTTCACTGTGATGTCCAGGATGACGTCGCGGTATCTGAGAGCTGTCAGAAGGCGCCCGGAGCATGGGGTAAGACGCGTACTTCTCGTCAAGGACGAGCAACTCATCGCTGACAACGTCGTATTCAACGAGTAGCTGGCGATCCTTCTCGTCCGGTCCACTCTCATTGAATGTCCAACCAGGCGTGACGGTGAGTTCGTGGAACCGACGGAGAAGAGACTGCTTCTTCTCGTCCGGGAGGGTCATGTCGTCTTCAATCGTGTCCAGCCCCCGCAGAACGAGGTAGAATAGGCATGTCTAAACATAACATCAGTTATGATACGGAGAAAGCACGCGGACATGAGACCAGGAACTGGGTGTGCCGGGGACGCGTTTTCAAGATCACTTAACAAATCGTTTGCAGCGACCATCCACACGCGTCCCACATCGACATACAGGTAATGCATAAAACATCTTAGGAGGAGGAACATGGACCGAGCAGAATGACGGGACTATCCTCTGAGAAGAGCTACTCACAATCCTGGCTAAGTCGCCCTCCAGCTCCTTGATGACCCCCGAAAAGCTCCTACTCGTCATATCCAAAAAATCCCAACATCTCCGCATGGACTTGCGGTCCCATCCCGAGAACTTCCATTCGCTGGGAGCGGAGATATCTCTATTTGCTTCGTGCCATATCTTGTACTGCAGCAGCGTCCGGAACTCCAAGGGGTGTGTGAGGAGCAAGACGAGCATGGAAAGGACACTCATTTTTGAGACGGTCGAGCAAGGATTAGGGAGCGAGGATGGGTATGGAACGGGAGGGGAAGGAGGGCAGGGCGCAGAGCAGAGACTCAGAGTAGCGGGAGGGTGGTACGATGCACGTAAGTATATGCGAAATCGAGCGGCTGCGTGCGTGACAGGGGCGATTGGCCGGCCGGCTTCAATTCACAGCGGCGTAACTTGTTCCTCGCTTCCTCCGCACCGACGACATAGCTGCCTGGATTGACGGTCCGCAGGCAAGGGTAGGTCGGTGCGAGACGCCTCACCTGCCTCGCTATCGTCGCATCATCTGAGCTGACCAATGGCTGCGTCTCCTTAGGCTCTACTTCGGCCTGATCCTTCCGGATGGACGCCGCTGTCACACCACCACTGCGTCTGCAAGTAGTCCGCTCTGAAGGTATCTCCTCATCCTCTGCTCGGGCACGCTTGCAGAACTTCCTGGTCAATCACGACGACCGGCGGCGACTCGCATCCCACGGAGGCGATTCGACCATAGCGGCACAGCTGCAGAAATTGACAGACGCATTGCGTGAGGAGCGCGATGTATGTAAGAAATTCGCAGAGCAGTAGTTGAGCTGGTGCGTCACCCTATCATTTGTTCGTGCGTACAAGTCTCCAACGAACAGTTGCAGGGCCACTATTCTGCTTCGGACATGATGCTTGGCAGGGGGCTCGAGAGCAGCCAGCATTCAATCGTTATTATCACCGTTACACACAGAAGACAGGAATAACATTATCGTACCATGCGAGCTAGCCTCAATCGGTGAATTCGTCAGATATCTGACAAGCAGCTATGAACGGTCGGGTCATGCGTACCGCAATGACAAGGCTTTCTGATGACACCGGGTCTGGGCATCGTTATTAGACCTGTCAGCGTCCATATCGGAACGTTCAAAACAAATTATTACACGTCCAAATCATACTTTAGCAGTAATCAGTCGCCGCACTCGTACGACATCACTTCCTCCGCTTGGTCGCTGCACCGACGTCAGACAAAACACGCACATAATTGAAACGGCGGCATCACCTGCAGAGCTGGATTTGGCTGCCGAAGCCTTCCTTTTCTGCCCGGTCTTGGTAGTAGGCTCCATGTCCTCTTCTTCCGTCTCAATCTCGGCCTTCCTTGATGCTTTACTCTTTGCGCGAGTCAAGGCAGCCTTCGTTGCTTCAGGGCCGATGGGAGCACCTGGGCTTTCTTCGCATTCAGGGCAGAACCACTCTCCGTCAGGGACCTCATTCAGCGGAGGGTCCAAGCATTTCGTGTGGTACGGGTGATCGCACTAGAACGTTCTCGGTCAGGATGTCTCAGCAACGTCGACAGACGACTCACTTTATCGCACGCGAGCAGAGGCGTGTCATCGTCGACTGTATTACAAGCAATGCACTGGTCGGGAGACTCGAGGTCAACAGGGTGTCTGGGAAGGTCCGACATCTTCTCATTCGGCTTTGCTAGGAAGAATGTCGTGTTCTGACTCCCTGCAATCCTAAAATGGTCATTCAGGTCAACATACGAGAATCAGACAGAGCATGAAGCTCACTGGAAGACCTCAATGCCGATTAAAGGTTGGTGCCGCGTTGGTTTCGTTGCGCTTTTACCCTCATTCGGTCCTAGGCCGAGTTCGCCTGCAGTGGCCAAGGTCAGTAGAGTAACAGGATTATAGTTACGGCACGGTCAAGACTTGCCGTTCGAAGCACCCTGGCCGAAGGCGATGGTCATAATGCTGTCATCCTCGTCAGGAGCCAGAGCCCAGTGTGTCACGCCTCCACATGCAGCATGTACTACTTTACATCCCCTGGTGTAACGAACACATCAGACGAGGCGTTGCGAAACTGTTGAGAACGACGCACATTATATCCTGAATGTAGCGGAAGGTAGAGTAGGGCTGGCCGGAGGACCCTAACGGACGCCTGTGAGACTGCTGACCTACAAGAACGTCGGAGGGTACTCACCATCTCCCGTGTTTTTCCACTGCGTGGCATCAGCATTAATGCGATTCACTGGAAAATGACAAACGGAGGACGAACCTTGCCAGCCATCCAATACATCCCTTGCTTGTCGATGACAACGGAGTTCGACGGTCCTGCTACCACTTGAGCCCCCCTCGTGTTGTCATTCGATCCAGCGAACTGGAACGACGTCAAACTACGCTTGAAAAGAACTCGCAGGCGGTAGGGAGGCGCACCTGAGGTACTGGTTTCGGTATGAGGACATCTTGCTGATTTCCCAGGCCGAGACGGCAGTAGCCATTGTAACCCCATACATACACTACCCTGAAGCGGAGCTTAGCGCAGGGCTCGGGCCATACAAACTAAGAGACGTACCCTTCAGAATCTAGGGCTATGCTGTGTTGTTGTCCACACGCAATCTGCGTTATTTTCTTGCCTTCAAGGCCCTTGACGAGGACTGATAGCTCGTCAGCAAGAGGTCGGACACTGCCAATGATTAGAGCTCACTCGGTTCTGACTCGACGTCAAAGGCTGTTTTACCCGCGGAGACGATGTGTTCTCCAGTCCTCCCGTTGCCTAGTTGGCCATGTTCACCACTTCCGAGAGCAAAGACTATCAGATGAAGCACGCTTCAGTAAGGATGCACTCCTCGTCAACGTAGTAGCTGACCCTTGCCGCTGGCTGTGAGAAGGATCGAGAATGTAATCCCAGCAGCCGCCTTCATTACGCTCTCCTTTACACCACCGTGCCTCGGACCTTGGACCAATTTGAAGGCGGGAATCTCTGGACATGGAGGATGGCCGCACTACGCCATTTTCGGAGCATTAACGCTCATCACCTGGCCAAAAGACTATATCTCACCTGCCCGAGCTGGTTCGCACCCGCGGTCCACAGCTGTCCGCCGCTTCCCACAAGTAGAGTATGGCTTCTCC